GTAGCCGACCCATAACTTTCCAGTGCGGAAATCGGATAGGCGTCGCGCGCTGAACTTGGCATAAAACCACGCGGACGCAGGGCATACTCATACCGACTTGCAATGCAGGCGTACACAATCATTCGCATCGATGGCGTACTATGTAGTGCCCATAATCACGCGGTCCCTCGTGGATTCGAGTACCGCTTATGACACTCCTGTGTCAGACTTGAAGTGTCGTGAGAGCCTAACCTTTCACGACATTGCAAGGCTGAAGGAATAGTCGTGCAGCCGCCGAGGCGCCTCAGACTCTCGATCTAAGTGTCACGGTAGGCAAATCAAATAGGCTCTTCGTGAGGGGAAAACCCCTCCACTGCAGAGCCTAGGGCTTGGGATGTCCTGGACAAGGACCTCGAATCCCGGCCCAGGACCAAACGTCCGACTAGGAAAATCATCAAAAAGCAGGAGACAAGAATAAAAGGAGAGACCTCCTCTAAGCCCCTTAGTCTCAGCTTCTGAATGAGGCTCTAACGTGGGGCTCTCTAACCCATGCAAACATTCATCCCAAGTATACTCATGCATACATATATAAGAGTTAAATATGTGACGGCCACTGTTCACAGTCTCACTGGGGTTCTCACAATAATACGTATATGTGCGATCGTAAGCAACCAAATCCAGAATCTGCTTCACAACACATACCTGTCATCACATCAACGAACCAAACCAACAACCCACACACTACACGAAGTCAACCCCAATCACCTTCGACACTCATACCCTTTGCTTTAGCCATGCAAGCCCCAAACCTCCTGTCCAACCAACCTTAATTAAATACTCAGCACCTTTGTCAAATGGTCATTCAATAAAAGTCCGGGTGAAACCTTAATAAAACAACGAAATCACCAGGGCTAAAGCCTTTTAGGTTGAGTGTAGAGGGAGAATTGAAATTGAGTCGTAGACCGACGAATCGGCAACCGACCTGTTATCAGTGATAACAGTAAGTGATCCTCAATGGATCAAGTTGGATCTAGCCCTGAACTTGGATCAAAAAGATAAAAAAGGACCTGTAACACACGGCAGACCAATCCCCAAGCTAAGATAATAAGTGTATGGAGAATACAACTCCATAATACATCCTCACTCAAAACTTCCTTATAAGCTAAACCTAAGTCTACTTTTGAGTCAGTGCTTAAGCTGAAGGTAGACCAACTACAAAGTCTCCCCTATTCTGGGTGGATCGCCTGAATCCTCTGTCAAAATATAATCTATCTCCTCTAAACTAAGAAAATTTTGGCAGCGCTTCCCGTAGGAAAAGTGTCTTTTCTTAATTTATATAAGCCCAGATATGGGAGCATAAATAATTTCTAACTCCTAGAAAGCCAAATTTTGTCTAACTCTCTGAATTAGTAAAAATTTGGGCAGCACTCCCTCTAGAAAGGGAGACTTCCCAGATTTATACTAAGTCAGATATGAAAGCAGAATTAATCTCTAACTCTGGAAAGTCA